GACTCTAATGCTCTCTCTTTTTCTTAAGGCTTGGCATCACTGTTGCTTTTTATTTTTCTTAGAATTAAGGAAGAAAGATGGCATCTTTAGGGGTTCCTCTATTTTCCTGAAGAATTTAGGAATTCTTTACGTTTGGAATTCATTTTAAGTCAGGAGTAAAGGGAACGGACGACTGTGAGACTCAGCATCGTCCCTTTTACCCCTTCCATGTTTGTTGACTCTTGCTTATAATTCTTCAGATATGTCTGTGGAGGCCATTGGTGGCCGTTTCCTTCTACTCTGCAGTGCATTAATCTTTTCCTTCTGGAACAGATAATGAGTTCGGAGTCACGCATTCAAACCACTGGTTTTCCACCGTGTTCTGAGTGTGTCCCCAGCACCGGTAGGAGTTGGCCCTCCTGAGGGGGTGAAGTGCCCCAGACCCAGCTGGTTCTTTTTTTTTTTTCCCCTAATATTTATGTATTTATTTATTTATTTGGCTGCTCTGGGTCTTAGTTGCAGCAGGCATGCGGGATCTAGTTCCCTGACCAGGGGTTGAACCTGGGTCCCCTGCATTGGGAGCGCGGAGTCTTAGCCACTGGACCACCAGGGAAGCCCCCACGCCCCCAGCTGTTTCTTGAATGTCCTTTTTCCAAGGTTCATCATGGATTTTAAATGACGCTTCCTTCAAAGGAGAGAGGTCAGCTGTCTTTGGAACACCAGTTGTACTTTGTCTTTAGTATCTTTATTTTCAGTGAAGTTTTTCTTCTGTGGGGCCAGGCCCCAAGTGTGGGAGGCTATGCAGCCGTGCCCGCACCGGGCTGCACCCCATCCCCTCCCCGAGGTGCTGGCTCACGGTCACTGAATCGCACCTCACGCCTGTGTCCCGACCCATCACCTGGCGGATCGCCTGTTCCTTCTGTCCTGACCCGACGTAGCAGCGTCTCCGTCCTCCTGTCCCAGCGTAGCTGCGCTTGCCCCTTGTCCCCTGTGTGGCAGGACTTGGTCCCGCGCCAGCAGCAGCATGCGTTGCCCGCTCGCTAACTGCAGGGGTCGGCCTTTCTTCCTCTCTTCCCTTCTCCTCCTCTGACTTTCATTTGTCCTTTTACTTTTACACTGTCAAGAGAAATTTACATTGTGTTTTGTAAACATAAGGTGCTTGTCTGTAAGTTTATTGCTGAAAATCCATAAATTGTTTACGTTATTCCCACTTGTGGAAACCACGTTCGTTACAGAGCCTGGACCCTGCTCTGATGACGTTTTCTTCCTAGAGTAGTGCCTCTCTCTCCCCAGGTTCCTAACAGCCTTTTTCTTACATTATTAGCCTTTTTCTTAACTTCTGTATTTTCAGACTACCCATGGTACGGTGTATTATCGTTGTGGCCTGGAACTTTCTTTACTCCGGGCACTCTGTCCTCCTACCCCTGGCAACACAGCGGCTTTCAAGGCTGCCTGTCCAGCCACGTTCCTGCGATGACCAGCAGCGGGCAGGGAGGCTGGAGCACCTCCATGGCAGCCCTGGAAACCTCTGCATCTCGGAGGGGCATCCCCAGAGACAGTGAGAGGCCCTGGTGTGGCCTTCCCACCACGGCCTGTCCCCAGGGGACACAGGGGGCAAACCTGTCTGCACACCAGGAGGTGTGGCTCATGGGATTACCCGCTCATCGCTTTTATTTTATTTATTTTTTTATGTTTTAGTTTTATGGTCCCGAGGCGTGTGGGATCTTAGCTCCCCGACTAGGGATCGAACCCACACCCTCTGCATTGGAAGGCGAAGTCTTAACCACTGGACCGCCAGGGGAGTCTCTGTTCATTGCTTTTAAACCCACCTTGTCTTTGTAATGGATGCTTGTATTAAAATATGATTGTTTTAAGTATTACTTAATGATGTGTGTAGAAGTAACAGAATTTGTAGCTTTTGTAAAAATTTTTGAGACTGCCTCAGGTAATTTTGGAGGTTTTTGAATAAAGTACTCTCAGAATGGAACCAGATAGAGAGTCCTCACCACCACCCATAATCCTCCCCTGTGGAAGTTAGAGTGCACCTGCAGGTCCCAGGGGAAGACTGGACATGCTGTGGGGGCGTCTGGGACTTCGGGGCTGGCATTGCTCAGACGAGTGATGCTGGTCTGTGTCTCATGCTGGGCCCAGGTTAACCCCAGATGGAGCGGATGACCTGTGGGTGACAAAACTTTAGAATGAAGTGTAGGAGAATTCGCTTTGGATTTTGGGATGGAGAAGGATTTATTGAACAAAAAAGAGAAAAAATACGTTCACACAGATTTGATATATTCAGTTACATTAAATTGTGAGAGGGAATTCCCTGGCAGTCCAGTGGTTAGGACTCCGCGCTTGCACTGCAGGGGGCACGGGTTCAATCCCTGGTCAGGGAACTAAGATCCCGCATGCTGTGCAGTGTGGCCAAAAAAAAAGAAAAAGTGAGAGATCTGTTGCATGATAATGTGCAAATAGGTAACACTACCCAAGTGTACACGTAGGAGTGGTTAAGGTGGTCAGTCCTGTAGTTTTTACCACAATAGAAAAATGTATGAACTTGTGTTCATGATAAGTAAAAAGAGATGGGTGGGAAATCGGGAAGGCTGGGGGCCCCCATCATTGTGGGGTGTGGTCATCTGGGTAGCGGTTGGCCTGCCCCTTCTCTGGGACCCTAAAGTTCCACTTGTAGGTACACACCCTACAACAGTTCTTCCTAATCTGTTTGTGGTGAAGGATCAGATTTTATTTGTTTTCATTTCCATTGTGTCACAGGCTGATACTTTTGTAAACTACAATGAAAATGACTAGCTAGAAGAATAAGTTGCAAACAAAACAAAAAAATGCAAGCCCAGATTTTTTTCTTTTTACGTTTTTAAAATAAACATACAGTAAAATTGACCTTTTTTTTTGATGTACGGTTCTCTTGAGTTTTAATACATAGAGATTTGTGTAACCATCACCCTGCTCAGGCTGTGGAACACGCTCATCCGTACCCACCCCCCACGCCCACAGCATCCACTGTTCTGCTCTCTGTAGGTATAGCTGTCTTTTCAAGAATGTCACGTACATGGAATCATAGAGCTTCTAGCCTCTGCGGCCAGCCTCTCTCACTCAGCCCAGTGTTACTGAGAATCCTCCACGTTGTGTGATGGACGCTTCGTTCCTTTCTGCTGCCGAGTGGTGCTCCCTTGTGTTCACCTTCCAATTTGTTATCCTTTCACAGGGACATATGTGTTGTTTCTGGGTTTAGCGATTATAAATATTCATGTACAGGTTTTCCATGTGAACATTAATTCCCGTTCCTCTTGAATAAATGCTCAGGAGCGGGATGGCTGGGTCACGTGAAAGCCTGTCTTTAACTTTATAGGAAACTTCCAGCTCTCTTCCAGAGTGGCTGCCCCGTTTGGTGTGCCACCAGCAGTGTACGGGTCTAGCCACTGGGTGTTGTCTGGTTATTTTTTAAGCCATTCTGATACATATGTAGTGGTATCTCATTGTAGTTTGAAGTTGCATTTCCCAAATGGGTAGAGATGTTGAGTATCTTCTCCTGTGCTTATTTGCTATTGCTTTGACAGTTGGGTAAGTTTTGCTGTCAACTTCTGCCCTTAGCACTAACCTGAGCTGGTAGGGCATCACCCCGTGCCCGGCACTGGCCTAGAGAAACTGTAGGTGGGAATTGCTCAGAAGGTTCAGAGGACCCCAGTAATAGCAAAACCTGGGAATGACCAGGCATCTTCCAGTAGAAGAATGGATTGACAAGTTGTGGCCTGTTCCCAAAATGGAATTTGTCCAGTACTAGGAATGAGTGAATTATAGATATATCCAGCAATTTGGGAGAATCTTAGAAATATATTGAGTTTCAAAAACAAGTCACGGGCCAAAAAAAACAAGTCCCAGAAGGCTGCATACACAGTGTTAAGACCATTTGTTTTTTAAACAAGGTCTTATTTATTTATTTACTTGTGGATGCATTGGGTCTTCATTGCTGCACATGGGCTTTCTCTAATCGTGGCAAGGGGGGCTACTCTTTGTTGCGGTGCGCGGGCTTCTCATTGCTGTGGCTTCTCTTGTTGCAGAGCACAGGCTCTAGGCGCACGGGCTTCAGTAGTTGTGGCTCGCGGGCTCTAGAGCGCAGGCTCAGTAGTTATGGCACATGGGCTTAGTTGCTCCGTGGCATGTGGGATCTTCCCGGACTAGGGCTCAAACCCGTGCATTGGCAGGCGGAGTCTCCCCCCCGCCCCCCCGCCCCGTACGCGGGCCTCTCACTGCTGTGGCCCCTCCCGTCGCGAAGCACAGGCTCCGGACGTGCAGGCTCAGCGGCCACGGCTCACGGGCCCAGCCGCTCCACGGCATGTGGGATCTTCCCAGACCGGGGCACGAACCCGTGTCCCCTGAATCGGCAGGCGGACTCTCAACCACTGTGCCACCAGGGAAGCCCAACAGGTGGATTCTTAACCACTGTGCCACCAGGGAAGCCCAAGACCATTTTTTTAAGCTGAAAAAATTAAAACTAAATAGTGTTTAGGGAGAAACATATGAGGTAAATTTCTTTAAGCAAGGGATTGTAATAAACATTGCTTCAGGGTAATAATGTATATGGGGAGAATGCAGGAAGTTTCAAAATTATTGGTAATTTTCTAGTTTTTAAATTGAAGGATGGGATCATGGTGTTTATTTTATCATGATGCATCATGACTTATATGTGCCATATCTTCCTTTCTGTGTATCAAATATTATATAAAATATTTAAAACAGAACCAAGGGACTTCGCTGGTGGCTCAGTGGATAAGACTCTGCACTCCCAGTGCAGGGGGCCCAGGTTCGCTCCCTGGTCAGGGAACTAGACCCCACATGCATGCTGCAACTAAGAGTTTGCATGCCACAACTGAGGAGCTCACGTGCTGCAACTAAGGAGCCCGCCTGCTGCAACTAAGACCCGGCGTAACCAAGAAAGGAAGGGAGGGAGGGAGGGGGATTAAAACAAAAACAAAAACAAAAACAGAACCAAATAGCCTTCCTTTTAAGACGTTTTCAAATCTGTTCTTCCAAAGTTGGCATATGATTTTTTTCTGCAATAGTAGGTTGAATTCAACAGCAACTCTTCATAAACATTCAGTGCGTGCTGATTTTACACACGGAGATACAAGAGTCAGAATACACGTCTCTTTCCCCTGCAGATGTTTAAGTCTTCTGAGGAGCATAGGCGTGCCCTGTGAGCACAGGGATTTTTGTCCATTTTATTTACTTTGTTCACTGCTAAATCCCCAGCTTTGAGAGCAGAGTGTGGCACATGGCAGGTGCTTCCTAAACATTTGTTGAACAAATAAACAACACACAGACATATGCTCAAGGCTCAGGATGGCTGCATAGAATGTGATGGGTTCTGCTGTACATCCGTGGATCCCCACCAGGGATCTCGCTTCACAGTCGGAGGTCTCAGTAGGGGTTCCACGTAGGAGTGGGCAGGACGTTGAGGAGACCCCAGGTGCTCAGGGTTGGCAGCACTGCCTCTGCCTAAGAGCGAGCTGTCAGGCCGTGAGGCCCAGTGGGCGCAGTGGCAGGAAGAGGCTGGTGTCAGACAGGGTCTGTGTCCAATAGGACCTTGTAGGGCAGGCCCGGGAGCTGGGATTTGATGCTGCAGCCAGTGGGCTGTTGGGGAAGGACCTGAGTGGGGTGGTGACAGGAGTAGAGCCGTGCTTTACAGACTTGTCCTGGCGGCAGTGAGGGAGGACAGACTGCGTATGCTCCAGAAAAGCCTCCCCCTTTACCGGACCCCTGCCTCTTGGGGTTGGCGAGCTTTGACTGGTTTGAAGCCCATTTTTCCCTGCTCGTGTGTGGCTTGGCTGCCCCGCAATGTGGAGGAGCCCCAGTACTCTTCCTAGCAGCACCAGGACGCACTACAGATTTGCAGAATGTGCCCATTGTTTGTTTTTAAAGGTATGTGTTACTAAAAATGACGCAGCCTGAAGGTCAGGACCTAACCCTCCTGGGGCCAAGGCTGGGAGCATAGCTGGGATGGCAGTTCCTGAGTTAATAGCAGGTGTAGCTCAGGTAGATGTGGCTGCTCCCCAGGTGCTGACATGGGCCTCGGGGATGCCTTTGAAATTTAATCGAAACGGGTTTAGGAAAAACCAAAATGCTGAGGTGCTACCTCAAATAGCAGACGTGACATTTCCTGGTGGTCCAGTGGTTAGGACTTGGCGCACTCACTGCTGTGGCCCGGGTTCAATCCCTGATCGTGGAACTTAGATCCTGCAAGCCACACAGCGCAGCCAAAGAAATAGAAAACAAAACAAATAACAGGTGCTGGACTCCTGGACTCCTCAGGCAAAGACAAGTCACCACCTCAGCACAGCTGGCCTGTTCCTGGACCTTGAGGCTGGCAGCAGAGGACACCTGGTTTCCCCCGTGACCCTCTAGTGGAGCCTCCTCACGGCGTTGAGCTTGGAGCTGTGTGCCTGTGGTGCCAGGTATTGGGGAGATGGGGGAAATCGAGGGAAGCAGAAGACAGGTCACAAGACAATGGGAGAAACCAACTCTGGGGAGGGGAGAGCGCTGACCAGGTGCAAAGGGGATGGTCTTCAGTTTGTCACTTGTGGGACATTATTTTTAGGATGATTTTTTTTCCCGCTTTGGAAAAATGTTTATTTCTTTTAAATCATTAAAGTATACCCGATCACTATAGAAAATTAAGAGGGATAAACAACAAGGTCCTACTGTATAGCACAGGGAACTATATTTGATATCCTGTGATAAACCATAATGGAACAGAATATGAAAAAGAATGTATATATATGTATAACTGAATCACATTGCTGTACAGCAGGAATTAGCACATTGTAAATCAACTATACTTCAATGAAATAAATTTTAAAAAATAAAATTAGAATAAACCTCAAAAAAAGAAAATTAAGAAAATAAAATATTAAGACTTTTGAAAAAAGTTGATTTTAATGATTTAAAAACCCCACAAAACCCGATTCTTTCTCTCTCCCCTTCACTGTCTTCCACAACCTTTCTGCTTGACAGGAGCCTCCTAGATGCATTTCCCAATATCACACGTGCTAAGAATGAAGTCAGATCTGTCCGTTTGCAGTTCAGGTCACTCTCTTAGTTACAAGACCGTGTCCCAACTGAGCATGAAACTTAAAAGTGCGTATTTCCTGGCAGTGGGTAGTTTCTAACTAGAATGTTAACTTTTGAAACGTGTGTGAAAATGATGTAGAAATTTACATGTAATAATTTTTGTGCTTGGACAGCATTTATTTCATTTTCTGACTCAAAATTATAAAATACCAGTTTGAATCATGTTCATAGCAGCTGTTTTATTCTTAAAGGGCCAGATGTAAGTATTTTCAGCTACCTGGTGACACAGTCTCTGCTGAGAGCAGCCACAGAATGACAGACAAACGGATGTCTTTCTGTGTCTCCATGGAAGTTGTAAAAACAGGCAGCCTGCCATCACAGAGTAGAGAATTTTATGTTTCATTTGGTTCTCTCGTAGTATCTAATTCATGTTGAGAACAGATCACGTTAATTACAACGGCTGCTCTGTTTCCTGCAGGTAAACTTGACATACAGTGAAAGGCACAGATCTTAACTGGATTTCAGTGAGCTTTGGTGTGTACACTTGTGAGACCACTCTTGCATTTAAATTAAGAGTATTCCTGTCTCCTAGGAGGTCCCCTTACCTCCCTGAAACAGTCGCTTTTCTGGTTTATATCACGACCTTGTTTTTCCTGTTCCTAATATTTGTATAAATGGAGTCAGTTTGTGTTTCTTAGCTTGTTTGCGTAACACATTGTGTTTGAGATTTATTGGTTTCATTGCTTTGTCAGTATGTTATCCTTCTTTTATTGGTTAGTAGTGTTCTGTATAGAACGGACCAGAAGTTGTCCGTCCTTGTGCTGCTGACCCTGTGTGGCGTTTGCTTTTCTTAGAGCTCCGCGCTGCCTGCTCACATGGGGTGCGTCTCCCCCCCCTGCTCACATGAGGTGTGCGTCTCCCCCCCTGCTCACATGAGGTGTGCGTCTCCCCCC